GTGACCACGGTTGTATTGGGAGAGGCCATAGAGGAGCGGGAGCTGTGATAGAACATAGTGAGGTAGGGTGTATTTGCTACACTCAGGCTGCTGGGCTTGAATCCTAACCTCTGGTCTTAGCACTGTTACCCTGGGAAACCTACTTTAATTGCTCTAGGGCCTCAGTTTCCTCATCTGAAGTAAAGATTTCATACTGTGTTCCTGTTACTATGAATTAGACGAGGTGTTTTGACTCAATAGAAGGTGCATGTGAAGTGCTATTGTGTTGGTATTTTAAGGGCCTATGTTGCATTCTCTTTTTCTGCACTCTTTAAATGTGTCATTTATATTTGCCCGAAACACTCACACTAAATCCTCTATCATTAAGCTTGTGTTAATCCACGAATATTGGAGTAAGAATATTGTACGACAAATGTGTATACATACTGTCAGATTCTTTTTCTCACTGATTTATTCCCTCTTGAGTACTGGGTATCAGCTCTGTTTCTCCGTGCTTCTGAGAGTCTGCCTCTGGGATTCCTGGCAGTGGGCGTGGTGCAGTATTGGGGTGCTCTTGGTGGTGTCATAGCGAGGTCTGGCCAGAGTCTCAGTCTCAGAAAAAAAAATGTCTTCTTTGAGCTAGAGTGTGTCGAAGAGAGATTGCGTGTGCCACTGAAAGGGCAGAAGCTTCTGACTCCCGATGTGTATTAGGATGAATCACCATGGGGATTGAGATATAAGCAAATAAAAGCCAGGCCACTTGTCTGAGTTCTACAACCAGAGCTTTAGTAGAGGTGGAGAAAGAGAAGAGAAGATGCCTGGTTGTGTGTGTGTGTGTGTGTGTGTGTGTGTAATTAAAGCTCCCAGCTGTGGAAATCTGTTGTCAGCAGAATTGAGTATCATAAGACTAGAGTGTAATAATCTTGTTTAAAAATTATATGTAGATTATCTATGTGTGTGTGTATAGTTCTAATTATAATGCTTCCCCCTATATACGTTATGTACTTATACATAAGTTTCAAGTATAATGTTACTTGTCCTGTAATTCGGGCCTCTGTGTGTTCTTATTCCCTAGCTATCTGTGCTAGGGAATTTTTAGATGAGCGTGTCAGGGGTATTTGTCCTAACATTGCTTGTTTTGCCTTCTCGCAGTCAATTGTTACCACTTTAATTGAGTAGAAAAATAGTGTCCATATAATAATCTGTATTGATCTTCTTTAAAATACTTTTATTTCCAGATCACTGAACAACTTGAAAGCTGTTTACCAGTAATAGAAGCAGAAAGCACAAACATTTTTCAACATAGTGTGCAGATGGAAAACCCTTCTACAGAAGGCACTCTTTCTGGCTTTATAAATTATCAGAAGATGGATAGTCACAGTGTTCAGCTGGAATTTTCAGTGACCTTATCGCTTTTAGATTTTATTAGGTAAATATTTTCTGGCACCTAAATTCAAATGATTCATTCGGCAAATATGAATGATCTTCTCTGGACTGAGGCACTGCTAGGTTGTCAGTATAGACTCAGCCCTGCTTCCGGAGTAGGGAGCCATTGCACAGCCACTTCCTCCTGTGTCGCGCCGCAGGGAAGGGACGGCACAGGGAGAGACGGCACTATGGGGCCTGGCTTACCTGCAGTCAGTTGGTAGTCTGGAGAGCACCCTTTAAGCCGAAGTAGCTTCAAAGATGACTCATGCCTCTTTTTTCTTTCCTTTCTTCTGTATTTTAAAACTTTGCCTTGGTTTGTCTTTCTTGCTCTCATAAAATCTGTTCGTTAAGCTTTCGACATCTACAGCAGAAAACAAGTTACCACATTTTTATTCAATATTCAATAGGGTTTTGGCCTTATCGGAGGCGCTGTACAATGTTACCAACATTATTAGAAACCATCTCTTAGTTATTCTGCCCTCTTTTGGCTCTTCAAATATATTATACTGTAATTAAGCCATTTTCAAGTGAAAAATATCTTTTTAATCTTCATACCTCTACGTGTTTTACATGACCATAATTTTTGCTCACACTTTAAGTCTTTTAGTAAGACTGTGTCTATGAATCTGTCAGAGTATTGATGCCAATGATGGTTATATAAGATAGAATCCTGCCATCAAACGTATATGTTCTATGACTGAAGGTTTGTCCCAGAGCAGTGAGCTTTAATAACCTGAAGACGCACAGTATATATCTACCTAAACAGTCATCTGCTTATTAATAAAATCCTCTGTATCTTTAACTGTACAGTCTCTTTTGGTTATAAAATCAATATGCACTTGTAAAACATTCACGTGACAGAAAAGTAAACATAGAATATAAATTTTTCATGCAGTCTCATCCGTAGAGATAGCTGGGTAAATTATTTTACCTGTAGAGTCCCATTTGTCTTTAAAAAAATGTTTTTTTGTTTATACATTTGTTAAAATTCTTAGTGTAGTTTATACAAGGTGGGGCTTTGTATTCATAATTTTTTGTATGGTTCTGATGAATACCTCATCCCCAAATACAGAGTATACCTGAAAGTAAGGTTTTATATTTCATTTAAAGAATTTGTGACATTAATTGGTAAACTGTACCTGTATGACTACATAGAAGTAGAACCGAGGGAGTTTATTTAATTACACCTGCCTTCACTATTTTAGTTTATCAGATGCTACATGTTTTAATCATTATTGGTTTTAAAACACAAATTTGTAAAATCTAGATTTCTATTGATCATGTTTAATTCTCATATTTCACTTTAAGTCTATTTAATCTTCTGTATATGAATCTAATTTTGAAAATTATTTTCAGGCCATTAAAAATCTCCACTGAAGACTTTGGCAAACTTTGGTTATCCTTTGCAAATGATGTGAAGCAAAATGTAAAAATGTCCGCGTCCCAAGCTGCCCTGCCTTCTGTTCTAAAGACCCTGCAACACAAGCTAAGACTTCATGTTGTTGACATGATAGGTTGGTAACATTATAAAACGACAACCAGGTTGTAATTGAGACCTCGTGTCATCCAAACCAGTTCTCTTACTGGTGTCAGAGTTCTCAGAGCGAGCGGTTATTTCTTGCCGAGTGTCTTGCAGGTGAGTGTGTCGTTTGGGCCATGTTAGCAATGACAGTTCTGTGTTTTGTTGCAGGTACTGAAGGGCTTTTGGCCTGTCAGCTACTCCCGTCCAGACCCTGCCTGCTGCATTTCCGCGTTCATGCTGATGTCTTAGTCCTGTGGCTCAGGTCCTCCTGCTCTGCGCTGCCGGACTATTTACTCTCTCAGTGTCAACGAGTGGTGGAGGGGTCCTAGCGGGACCTCTGCTTGTGCTTTATGCCAGCAAAAGACAAGGTTTACATAGATAGTCATTTACCAAAGTCAAAAGCACTCCTGGTACTTCTAATGAACATGGGGATCATGATGAGTTGTGGTTTTACTGTGTTTTATGATTGTGTCAAGAAGAGTCCCCAAGAAACTATATCCTTAACTTTACTCAGGATTGTACAGTATGTTTGGGTCCTAAAAAAATGACCTAAGCTAATGTCATAAACTATTAGCGATTTATATCTATCACTTAGTGGAGAGGGATTGAAAATATTTATTTTGTTACAAATAATTTTATAGCAAATTTACTGCTGGCTAATTTGTGGTGACGTTTGCTGCATTAATCGAGAGGAGATATAGACATGATACCCCATGAATTCGTATTTGACTTTGTATGCAGTGTACCCTTGGTGGTGGACAAGTCGTGATGTTCTGCAAAGGTCCATGTTGAACTAAGTGGCCTAACCCACGTTAGCACTCATACGGGATTCGTGAGCATGCCCGCGGGGGCCAGGGGACATCAGTCTGTCCATGACAGACGTTTTTAACAGAGAGAATTTATGACATGTAATTTGAGTATCAAAATATGTTTGTTTTCCAACTGCATTTGCTATTAAAATTCAAATAGCGTTCTTATCTTTAAAATCTCAAAGCCATTTGTTAAATATTATCATATAGAAACAAAATCCTTAAGAGCACATGGTACCAAAGCAGACGGATATAAAAGGACTTGTGAGCTATGACAAGTATCTATGGCAAATAAGTGATAACTGTGGACTAATTAAATTTGGGATTAGATAAACGTCAAAGCCATTATTCCTTCCTTTGGATCCATCGGTACTCAGAGGAGTAGATGAAACTAACAGACTCAAGTGAGAATGTTTATCTCAGAGCTGTGTCTAGGTGCCCCTGTCAGAACTAGTATCAGTGAAGGAGGAGCTGAAGCTTAATGAATGGCGGACCAGATGTTGAGCCTGTACATCAGTGTTAAAAACTGACATTGTGTTTTACCAAACTTCACGGTGCTGTGGGAAATGTTTATTAGTTCACTTTGTCGGATACTTCACCATGGCGACTCTGAGTGCAGTTCTGCGTCAGTGTAGCTGATGGAGGCACTGCTCATTGGTACTGTTCATCTCCCTGCCAGGAATTCCGGTTTTAGGTTCTCTCGTTCATCACAGCTGACGGAGATGCTAAGGGCTTTCCACCGAGCAGATAGATTTCCGTAGTCATCTGTGTCCGGAGTGTACCTCTCATAAACAACGGCCGAGGTTTTTGTTGTTCTTTCATGATGATTTTTAGTATTTTAAAATGTGACAACTTATTAATTTTGTTCTTTTGGAAGATCCAGTAAAGCCTTGCTAGAAGAACAATAGGTTCCTCCGGCTGATAGAAAGTCATCCTCCTCAGGCTCAGCAGGGGCCTGGTGCAGGAATATGCGGACTTGGGCTTGGGGGTCCCTGTTGGGGGACCTTAGCAGCATCCCCCTCCTCGTTTCCTGCCCTGGTTTTTCTGTTACTGTCACACAGAGAGAATGGTCCCTCCAACTTTTTGAAGGAACGCAGCATGTGGCAGAGGAGGAGGGGCGTGGCTTTCCTGCCGTTGGACTTGGGTCCCATGTGAAGCGCTGAGTGTCAGGTGCCCAGCGAGCTGATGGCCCACTGTCTGGGGTGAGCCCAGCAAGCTCTTCTGCTGGTGTTGGGAGTGGGTTGATGAGTGGCATGAGCAGTTGCCAGGTTAACACACTGGGGCAGAGACCCTTCTCCGAGAGAATGCATGTAAGTGGAGGTTTGGGGCTGGGAACGTGGATTTGGACTCAGCTAAAGGGAATGTGGTTCACTTAGCTTCTTTCTGAATCCACTGGAGAAAAAGCAAGGTGACCAGTTTTCTAACAGGTATTTAGCAGAATGTTTACATTTTTTTATATTTTTGTAATTTAAAAAAAAGGTCGTTTTTTAAAAACTTTGGTATCTATTCTGCCTAAACTCACTGACTTTTAAATTCTAAATCAGCACCACCAGTGTTTTTGCCATGCTACAGTAGGAAGAATGAGCTTTGTGTGTAGAATCACTCCCTTTACCCTGTAGCCACAGCTTAGAATGGAGCAACATCCCGAGGGGGCAGGGGTGCTGGTTGGGAGGCTAAGTGCCCCCAGTTCTGTGCCTGGCATCTGTGCTAAGAAGGGAGCTGCAGCAAGTGTGGATGTGGGAGAGAAGAAAGGGTAGGCAGACAGGACAGCTATGTGAGTCGGTGGAGGAGGGGTCGGCCTCCTGGCTGAGTAGTCCTTGCGGAGGCAGGCAGATCACAGACTCCACGGAAGATGGGCCTCAGTAAGAGAGACTTCTAGAAAGTAGTGATGACACTGAACAGTTACCAAGTGCTCATGTGCCAAGCATGCCAAGCACCATATATGTTCTGCATGGGAACATTATTTACAGATACATTCTGTTATCTACCAAAACCATTGCGGTAAAACTACAGTATTTTGTTTTTTCCTTATGTTATTTCATGCCATTAACATTTTAAAATATTGCGCTATTTGCCGTATATTTTCATGTGTAGATGTAGTCTTTGTGTCATGACTGTGAGCCACTGAAAGTGCATTGAACCTACCCATGTGTCTTTAAGGTGTTTTGCTCTGTTAACATTTTAGGAGGGAAAAATGAAAGTGAATGACAATTTACAGACATTAATTACCTTACTTGAGTTGAATGCTGTAATTTGAAAAGTTCATGTAAACATATAATAAATATAAAGTGATCTATACTGTTTTATTTCTCTAAATAGTCTTTATTACCTAAACAGCTGAATAATAAGTAAGTCATTTAGTCAGTAATTTGGTAGACGTTATGGGAAAAAAGAGCAGAAGCAGTAAGTATGGAGTAGAAACAATAATTGACTTAGGACAGCCCCTGAAGCATCTGGTCTGATTGGTTAAAATGAAAGATACAAATCTCCCTGTATGAAGTGCAGAGAGTAGCGTGTGGACCAGCCCTCAGGCTGGACATCCCACTCTTTAGATCCTAGCCAGACCGGAGCAGTCAGAGCAGTGTGTTCTGTGTGTGAAATATTTCAGGGTGCAAGAAACAATGACAAAAGAGCCTATGTCTCCTGGCCATCTGCATTGTGTAGCATAAATCACAAAGCCACATCAGAAACAGTTTAAATCCCGCTGACATATACCTCCTGTAGGCTGTAAATTGTGACAGGAAAAAAGTTTTGAGACTTGGCCCCTCTGGGGGACTGAAGGAAAAATGATATTTAAATGTACCACACACATTGCAGTCATTGACAAGAACAGGTTTGTTGAAAGGAGTGGCCCGCGGCCAAATGGGCCAGGGTTAATGGTTGGTGGGTGATACTTGCTCATGTGTTGGCATGTTAAGAGACTGAGCCTTTTATGATTAGGAGGCATGTGTATATTGTGGTGAAAACGTATCCTGGGGGCTTCAAAAATGGAATCGAAAGGCAATGGAACCTCCCTTGTATATCCTCTTATTTACAAAAGCAATTTTATTAATTAACTGGCTATTACCTTCTTAATACTCTGTCCCCTATAATTGACTACCGTGTCACGTAAAAATATTTTATGTGCAAACGCATTTAACATTTGTGCAGCTATCACCACTATCTGTTTCCAGATTTTCTCCATCACACTCAACATGTGCTGGGGAAAGAAGCCTCCATTGTCGCATGCTCTCTAGAGACCTACCTTTTTCAGAAGTCTTAAACCACACAGAGACATCCTGAATCATAGCAACTCTCCATACAACAAGAGCCGGCCCGGCTCCCCCTCACAGTCGTTCAGTCTGAGCCCCTTGTTGCAGCCACTCAGTGCAGCTTCTTGATGGTCTTCCTCCTCTTCTCTGGCCTGCATTTCCAGTGACCTCTCTTGACAGCGTGTCCAAAGGACGTGAGACAAAGCCTTGACAGCCTTCCAATGAGCTGTCTGGCTGCACTTGTTCCAAGACAGATTTGTCTTCCTTTTGGCTATTCCTGGCACTCTCAGGACTCTGATAACACCGCCACGCAAATGCCCAAATTTCACATGCATCTGATGCAATTGAAAATGCCATGACTCGGGTCAGGCGCATCTAGTTTTAAAGTGATGTCTTTGCTGTTTAGCACTCTGAAGAGGGTTGCTATAGACCTTAGCCTTCCACAAACAAGTGTGCTGAAAACCAAGCCCTAATTAAAACAGAAGCTCAGCATACCCTTTTATGCCCCCCCCCACAAACCCGGTATATGTTTGGCACACAGTTTCATGAATTTCTCAGAAATAAAAGTTATTTGTGTGTGTGTGTGTGTGTGTGTGTGTGTTTAAGGAAATGTATTGGCCATTTCCTGGTGCCCATGTTTTATGTTAGCACTGTGCATATAACATCCAGGACTGCAGAGGGAGAATCCCCCCAAACCCAGGGCCGTCAAGTCGCCTCTGACTGAAACCAAAAGCAAGTCCACTGCCATCAAGTTTATTCTGAATCAAAGACCCTCCTGGGTTTTCTGAGGCTGCCTTTCCCAGAGAGCAGCTTGTGGATCTGGACCGCCACCCTTGCTGTTCGCTGTCCAACGCTCTCCCAGCAGTGCGCACCAGAAAGTCAGTCCAAAGCGCTTAAATAAAACCACTCGTTACGAGCAAGGAAGTGGGTGCCACTAAAATCAAGGTGTCATAGATGCTTACAGTACTATATTAAAAAATTACCTTTTTTAAAAGCTTGGGGGAGGGAGGCTATGGCAAAGGTCTCCCCTTCTGGGCCCCAGGTGGTTTAGGGGTGGGGACCCAGTCCCTTTATTGCACAGGCAGAGATAAATTGAACATGTTCCTTATTCCTGGGGGGTCTTGCTCACTCCCATCCACCATCAGGCGCTGGCTATTGACATAGGAGTGATTGGGACAAGGACACTTCTCTGCCGGCTTCTGAAAGGAGTCCAGAGCCTTCAGTCCATACTGGGCTTATAGGCTGGAGGTCCACAGGGTCCAACCTACTTAACACATAGTATCTGATTTCCCCTGAACACTCTCCCCACTGCGCCCTCCCCCGCCCCGCCCCGGCCAGCACCTTAATTACTAGCACGTGAGACCTGGTTGGGTTGTTGCAGGGGTGGGCAGACCGAAGCGCTCCAAGGGGGCAGTGTTTGGTCTCCATGAGGCTTAGGTGCGCCAAGAGCACTTGGTGGGCTGTTTGTCCATTTCTCGGGTACCCAGTGGCCAAGCAACCAACCTGTGAGGTCCTTGCTTGTGGGGTTAGGCCCCACACGAGTGTCCCAAAAAGCCAACCTCAGTGATGACTGGGATCTTCTTCAATGCCTCCACCACCATGCCTTTGAGCAGCAGGCAGACCAGTGAGAACCATAGTTCCCGGGGCTTGCCTGTCAGCCGCTGCTAATGAAGGCCTGGGTGGAGGCAATGAGTACTGGTATGGATCGCTGGAGACCCAGGAGAGAGCTGAAGACGTCGTGGTAGATCCTGCCCAGCAAGTCTAACTTGCACACCAGCTCAATGCCTTCTCAGTGGACCAGGCCTGATGGGCATTTAAGTGGCTTCAAAGTGCGTGAAGGACTCCAAGCGCAGTGAGGACAGCAGCTGCGGTAAGCAGCATCTTACAGACGCTCCACTAGGTCTTGCAGTGGTCTCCCTGGCCGGCTCCCTCCTTGGTTTTACAACTGTAGAATCCAGGTGATCGTACGTGGCTAAGAACTAAAGATACATAAGATCCCCCTGGGCCAAGTTGGGTGCCAGCACTCTCAGCCCTGCGCACACCTGCATGGAGGATTGGCCAGCAGGGTTAAAGTGGGTGACCACCTGACTAGCAGAGCTGTGTTTGGAAAACAAAATCTGCCCAGAAGAGTATATGGTAAGGTGACCAGACGTCCCGCTTTTGGCGGGACAGTCCCGCTTTTTAACAATTTTTCCCATGTCCCGCGGCGTTTTAAAAAAGTCCTAGTTTTTTTAAAAGAATGCACGACAAGCTAGGGTCTACGGTTTTTGGCTGCCAGGTGGCTATTTCGCCAGGATAGGAGTTTTATTAATGGTGTCCCGCTTTACCAATGTTAAGATCTGGTCACCTTAGTATATGGTATCAATTGAACATGACCTAATTCATGTCCCTGAGTTACCCCTACTTTCCCCAAAATGTCTGGTCTTGTTACCAGAAATAAATCAGCGGATAAGGGTTCCCATGCAGGTAGCATGCCGATTTATGCCAGATGGGAGAGAGGAAGCATGACAGCTTGATAAAGCCCTTTACTCCCTCGAAAGTTGCCATAGGAGAAGGCCATGCCACTTCAGAGCTACTCTTTACAAATGCAATGCTACAGGTACAATTATGATGTGGGGAGGAGGGCTTTACCATATTATGTTGTTACTGTTGTGTCGGCCTGTGCATTCTGATTCATAGCAACTCCATATGTACAGAGGGGAACAAGCGGCCTGATTAGCATTTTCAGGGCTGTGACCTTTGGGAAGCAGATCGCCAAGCTTGTCTTCTGAGGAGCGTCTGAGTGGGTCAAGTCTTACCTAAAGAGCTTGTTCTAGGATAGAAAGTAGTGGGCCTTTGGTCAAAGAAGTTAAAGATTGGAAACTAGTGGATATGCTAAGACAGGCTCACCAGCTATATTGGCATCACCTGTGTACAGGGATAAGGGGAGGAGCACATAGATGAATAGCATCACCAGTCACAGGAAGGTTGGAAAGGAACAGACGCTCTGAGATAAAGCTGCAGGAAGGTTCTGAGTTACCTAAAAAGAAATGTGTGCATCAGACAGAAAGCTTGTTCTGATGGTTACATGGACTCAGGTATGTGGACACACAAAATGTGTGTCCTGGAGGTTTCAGGGCTGTAGTTCTGTTATGAGAAGACGGGCTAGTGTGGAGAGAAAGCAGATGTTGGCAAACACCATAACTTTCCTGGAGCACCTTCCACGCTGGACAAATAGTGGGTCCTTGTCAATGGCTGTAGCTAGATTTTAGGCTTCTTTCCAGGAAAAGGAATCCATTTCCTTTAGTTATTTTAAACTGTTTTTGCTAAGTGGATGAGTTCTGTTCCTTCCTCGAAACATTAGACTGCCAATTCTACTAAATGGCTGACCTCAGGAAATTTTCCCTAATGGGATCCAGCAGGACTTGGGCCAAGTGGATGGAGACTAGAGCATGGAAATGATTTGTGTTTCTGTGGGAGAAAAATACCTAGAAACCAGATAAATCTCACATCTCCATTCCTTAGAGTCCATAACCTGTGTGTCGTTTTAATGTACCGTGGTGGCTTGTGTGTTGCTGTGATGCTAGAAGCGGTGTCAAGGGTATTTCAGATGCCAGCAGGGCTGCCCTTGTTGAACAGGTATTAGCAGACTAACAGGTCTACTGTTAGTGTACATCTGAAAACTGGCCATCCAGGACTATGAATAGAAGCAGCACATTGTCTGAGACAGAACCAGAAGATGAGCGCCTCAGTTTGGAACTCACTCAAAATATGAGTGTGGAGAGTCCACCTGCATGCCATGGATGGAGTGAAACTTTCAGCATCTTTAGGTACCGATGTGACATGACTCAAAATGAAAAGAAACTGTTGCACATATCTATTACTGATCAGAACATGGAATGTACAAAGTATTCCACAACCGTTGAGTTCATTTTGACTGAGAGTGACTTTATATAGGGTTTCAGAGACTAGATCTTTATAGGAGCAGATAGTCTCCTCTTTCTTGCATGGAGCAACTAGTGGGTTTGAACAGCCAACCTTTTGTGCCCAATAGTGTCACCAGTGATCCTTGT